GCATTTATCCTAGAAAAACCCTTTCCAACCAAGTACAGTGTGAGATAGAGCAGGCAGAATGAAAGATGGAATTCAATCCTCTGAACCTTATATGGTGGCATAGTGTCTGTAATTGTGAATTGTTAATCTCACCAAAAACTGCCTGTAACACCCAGAATCATGGAGCACCCTTTGTGTAGCCCCAAACAACAGTCCAAAAGGGTCTGGTGTTATGGTCTTCTGCATAATAAATATGTGCCTTGTGGGGGGTATTCAAAGAAGCTCTTAACTTTAGACACCTACTTGCTGCTGCAAGGCCTTTGTTAATTTTGTAGAGGCATGTGTCACCCTGAGTTTGCCCTAACACATACCTGCTTGCTGCTGCAAGACCTTTGTTAATTTTATAGAGCCTTGTGTCACCCTGAGTTTGCCCTAACACACCCTACAAGAAATGAATGTCTTTTTTTTTCATACTAGGTGTAAAAACACCATAGTATAACTGCAGATGAACTACTAGGGATGAGAGAGGTGGGGAAAAATAAACAAAAATTAAATGGAAAAGCTGAGGGAATTTCCCCTCTAAGTACATGGGGCAAAAGGCACTTCAACTATCCTCTCTTAAAAAAAATGATCTATCCTAGGATCTACTTGAAAATAAGTTGCAAAAGAAACAGTACTGAACACTGTGTAACAGGAATTATTGACTAGGAAACCTCCTCAGCTGAGCTTTTGCAAACTGTGCTGAAGACAGGGAGATGTACAGCTCAGCTTTTTACTTTCATAACTGTATTTTCCTAAAATGCTGAACAATAAATAGATGAAAAAATAGTCCTTAGTAAACACTCTTCCTGGAGCCATTTCAGTCCTGTCTACAGAAAAAAATGCTCTCATTTGGGAAAATGTTAATTGAAGCAATCAAAATATTTTGATTGACATGTCATGAATGACAGATAACAGACATACATTGTGTGCATTGTTGTCTATTTACCTCCAAACTGAAGTAGTTGACAAATTTCTGTTGTATAACGAGAGGTTTAGTAATCTCTTTGCTTAAAAGGACCAAAGTTTCTGTAAACATATCCAGTACCCAGGGCTCCAGAAACATGTATTTTGAGATACCAAGCTGAAGGATCTGAAAAATCCTTCCTAAAGGCAGTTTTCTTGTAGAAGCTCCTATCTTTATAGTACAGCTGGACAGAGAAAATGTGCATGTAGCTCTTGAAATGAGGTAGGCAAGGAAACTTTTCAGGTTTGGAGGAAATGTAAGTATGCACACATGCTTTGCAGGGAAAAGCCTTTCAAAATAAACTGTGCTGACATCTATTTGTTTTATCTCCCCCCTGTGCCTCTTGAAGTTAACAGCAGTGTGCTGTGCTGAACAGCTGAGGAGGTGTGGGGATCTGCACCAAGCCCTGAGGACAGCAGTGCCTAGGAATGCCTGGAGCAAGAAACTGCTTGGGAAAACAAGGGTTGGGAGAGATGCAGCATCTGTCAGGATGGCTTAAAACACAGATAATTATGGTGCTATTGCTACTTTGGTTCAATGAGTGATTAGAAAGAACAATTCAAAGTATATTGTTCTTAACCAATATTTTGTTAAAGCCTTATCTGACACTGCATGTAAGGCCGAAGCTCAGTAATAAGAAATTTTTGTTGGAAATTTTCCTCTTAAAAATAAAAGTGGCAGGAGAAGTTCCCAACTTAAACTGTGTAAATAAAATACATGTCGAAAGTTTTGTCAAGCTTTTTGAGAGGTGGTAGCAATCATATTGATCAGGTCCACCTTGATGTGAAAGTTATTGTGTCTAAAAGACTGTTTTCTTTTCGTTATAGGGTTTCCATGGCAACTGCATCCTCCCAGGTTCTAATTCCTGAAATTAATCTCAATGATACTTTTGATACTTTCGCACTTGATTTTACCAGGGAGAAGAAATTGTTGGAATGCCTTGATTACCTTACAGGTATTTTTTTTCTCTCAAGGTGATATTCATATTCCTCATAAAATAGTAGCGATAGGATTTTGTTCAGTTCTCTCTGGTCATGACTTTGGCTGACTGCCAGGTGCTCACCAAGGCACTCTCATTCCACCTCCTCAGTAAGACAGGGGAAAATAATAAGATGAAAAGCTCATGGGTTGAGATAAGGACAAGGAGTTCAGTAAAGAATTACTGCTACAGGCAAAACAGACTCAACTTGGGGAAGATTAATGTAATTTATTGCCAATTAATTGTAAAAGTAGGACACTGAGAAATGAAAATAAATCCTAAAAACCCCTAAAAATTCTCCCCACTCCATCCTTCTTCTTGGGCTCAGCTTCACTCTCAGAGCTTTTACCTCCCCACCCCAAGTGGAACGTGGGGATGAGGAATGGGGGTTGCAGTCAGTTCACCACACATGAAATTTTTTCACTGGAAATTGCTCAGGGAGGTGGTAGAGTCACCATCTCTGGAAGTGTTTAAGGGGCATCTGGATCTAACACTGGAGGATATGGTTTAGGGTTTAGTGGTTACAGCAGAGTGGCAGGTTAAGGGTTGGACTTGACAATCTTAGAGGTCTCCCCCAAACTCAATGATCCTATGCTCCCTACCACTCCTTCTTCATGATGCTCTTCCTGTACTCTGGCATGGGCTTCCTCCCACAGAACGCAGTTCTTCATGAGCTTCTCCAATATGGGACCTTCCTATAGGCTGCAGTTCTCCAGGAACTGCTCCAGTCTGAGTCCTTTCTGCTGGTGGATGCAGTCCTTCAGGCATGGACTGCTCCAGTGTGGGTCCTCCATGGGCCACAGTTCCTGCAAGAAAACATGCTCCTGAATGGTCTTCTCTCTGCAGTCTGCAGCTTCCTCCAAAGCATATCAACCTGCTCCAGTGTGAGTCCTCCATGGCTGCAGGTGGATATCTGTTTCACTGTAGTCTTCCATGGGCCTTAGGGAAGCAGCTTGCATCACCATAGTCCGCACCACAGGCTGCAGGGCACCTGCAGCACCTCTTCCCCCTGTTTCTTCAATGACCTTGCCATCTGCAGGGCTGTTTCTCTCACATTTTCTTACTCCTCTCCCAGCTGCTGCACAGCCTTTCTTCCCCTTTCTTAAAAACATTACCACAGAGGCACTATCAGCATCAGAGATGGGCTCAGCTTTGGGCAGTGGCAGGTCTGTCTTAGAACTGTGTCTGACATGGAGTCAGCTCTGGGTCTTTTCTGACAGAACTCACCCTTGCAGTCCAGCCACTACCAAAACCCTGCTACATAAACCCAATACACTCTCTCTCTTAATCCTGAATATATTGCCCCCAGCAGCCTCAGAATGCCCCAGGTTCTACACAACACAACTAGGATGCATTTCCTACTTCCTCTCCTTGCATTCCTCCCCACCAGAGTGTGAGGAAGTGAGAAATAGTTAAAAGCCACTGTAGCAGAGTGAAGTGAAATAACAGCTGGACCTCAGCCTGGAGCAGCCAGAGGAGGGAGAGCAGGGACTAAACCCCATTTCCCAGGAGATGTATGCTCCAGGTGCTATCTGCTCCCTTGGGGCTGCCTCCTCGCTGCGGCAGATTGCAGCCTGGCTGTGTTCCCATGAGCAACCAGAAGCTGTTCAAGCAATCAACATCACAGTCTCAGCAATGAAAGATGTTTTATCGTGTCGGTGACACTGTGTATTTTCTCCATCACAGAACTGGAGGATCATGTTCAAGCAATCAACATCACAGTCTCCGAAGTGAAAGATGTTTTATCATGTCGGTGACACTGTGCATTTTCTCCATCACAGAACTGGAGGATCTCACTGTGTCTGGGACTAGAGAGTACACAGTGTGCCCTGTGTCAGGGTGTGGGGTGGATTCTCCACGGAGCAGAGCCCCAGCTTGCTTAACTCAGATCTTTGGCCTGAAGAAGCCCACAGGATTAGACCCTTACTGAAAGCCTGAGTAATGTGCACTCTCAGAGTGTATAATGACTCACAAAGAGAAACAAATTACTGTAATTTAGGGTGTTTTGATTTCAATGCCAGAATTAGAACAATTCATTCCAGTTCAATTGAAAACAGAAGAGACGTGGTAGGTTTCCATTTCGCAGGGTCTTTAAGCATCTGCTGTTAACAGTGTGAATGTGCAATGAAAGGCACAAAGCACTGTTAGAAAAACACTTGAAAACACTTCCTGGGTCCATTCACTTGCCCCAGTTTGCAGGAGGTATACCCATGTTCCTTCAGGAGAATGTGAAAGTATGGAGTCTCCTCACTGCCAACCGCTGAATCTGTTCCATGCATAGGATTGGCTTCTGGCTTTTCTCCATAGGAAAGGCTGAGAAACTTGGAGTTGTTCAGCCTGCAGAAGAGAAGGCTCCACAGAGACCTTGCTGTGGCCTTTCAAAACTCAAAACGTTTTCATAGGGTCTGTTGCAATAGGACAAGTGGTAATGGTTTTAAACTAAAGGAGGGTAGATTCAAACTGCATATAAGGAAAAAATCTTTAACAATGGAGGTGGTGAGACACTGGTACAGGTTGCCCAGGAAGGCTGTAGATGCCCTATCCCTAGAAACATTCAAGGTCAGGTTGGATATTGCTCTGAGCACCCTGATATAGATGAATATGTCCCTGCTAACTGCCTGGAGGTTGAGCTAAGTGACCTTTAAAGGTCTCTCCCAACCCAAAATACTTTGATTCTGTAATTCAATGATTCTATGATTCTGTGACGGATTGAAACAAAACCACAAAACAACAACAAAAAACCCAAACAAAATAAACCACACAACCAACCAAAAAAAAACCCACAAACAAAAATACTCATTTTTCCTAACCTAGAAATCTACCTGTAAAATAATCAGTCTCAGCTTCCTTTGTAGTCAAAGAAGGGGAATAACCACCTCATTTTAAGGTGTCGTCGTGGTTTAACCCCAGCAGCAGCCAAGAACCACGCAACCTCTCACTCACTCCCCCACCAATGGGATGGGGGAGCAAATCAGAAGGGTAAAAGCTACAAAAACTCATGGGTACAGTTTAATAGAGAAAGCAAAAGCTGCACACACAAGCAAAGCAAAACAAGGAATTAATTCGCTGCTTCCCACAGACAGGAGGTGTTTAGCCATCTCCAGGAGAGCAGGGACCATCACGCGTAACGGTTCCTTAGGAAGACAAACGCCATCACTCCAGATGTCCCCCCTTCCTCCTTCTTCCTCCCACCTTATATACTGAGCATGATGTCATATGGTATGGAATATCTCATTGGTCAGTTTGGGTCACCTGTCTCAGCTGTGTCTCCTCCCAATCTCCCATGCACCCCCAACTTCCTTGCCAGTGTGGCAGTACGGAAAGCAGCAAAGGCCTTGACTCTGTGTCAGCTCTGCTCAGCAATAACAAAAACATCTCTGCATTATCAACTCTGTGCTCCGCACCAAACCCAAACATAGCCTCATACTAGCCTCTGTGAAGAAAGTTAACTCTACTTCAGCTCAAACCAGCACAGTATATGAGGTTTTGAAGGTGCCTATTTCTCTCGGGTGGCTCCAAATAGAGGCTAGAGAGACTTGTTCAAATACAGATAATTGTGGTTTAGAACTTTAAAGTTGTATGAAGCAAATTCTGTCTAGCAGTCTGTTCTTTCACCCCTCAGGTCTTCTCCCGTTTGTACATCATATGTCAATATTATCAGCCTAATTGCTATACACTGCAGAAAACGAAGGCTGTGTCTGTACCGAAATGAGGGGTTGGCTTGCTACAAAGATCTTTTCTGTGATCCATCCTGCTGACTGGTGTCATCTACACAGCTTCTCCTCTGCCTTCTTCCTAACTCATCCATGGTCTTAAGAATTGCTCACAATGCAGTCTAAGGGAACTTGCAAATGTATCAAGCAGTTTAGCTGGGTTTTTTCCTAATAGACCATTTTTATCCTTGCCCTTGATGCCCAGTGAAAAACAGTTTTATCTGGCTTTGGTTTTGTAGTATTTTTCTTCACATTAATAAATAGCATGTGGTTGCAATGGCAAAATGTGAAACATATGTCCAGATTGTCTGAGCATAAAACACAACCTATGCAGACAGTTCAAATACATTTATGTAAATATATGTATATATGTAATGTATATATGTATAGTCCCAAGAGTCAGATGCACTTGATTATTCTCTACTGTTGTTCAGAACTTTGGAGGAAGATTTATTCTATATTACTCCTTTCAGACTGGTGCACGGAATCTTCATAGATCTTAAGCTGAAGACCGTGACAGAGTGAATTAGGCTTTACTTTTATCATGTTTCACAGTTAAGTAAAATGAAGACCATTTGTAAGTCCTAGTGGTACATCTATGTTGTAAATTAAGTGAAGAAACCTACCTTAGAACTATCATCTGTACTGCTTCTGAACAAAATGTCAAAGCCTAAATTCCACCTTCATTATTTCTGCTGTCAGTTGCTTTTGAAACAATTGATCTTGGTTGTCTTGTGGAGATTTTCTTCTCCTTTCGTTCTTCCCAGTGTGCTATTTGTCGTATCTTCTTCATTCTCCATCTCCCCAGCTCTAGTTTTCCATGTGGCACATTGACATTTGCATCTTTCTTTCTTCCTAGGCAATTTCTTTCCTGAATATAAATTTAACTAGTTTTTGCTTATCATTTACACAACTGTCTGTCAAAACCTTCGGCTATCCAAATGAAAATCTCTGATATCTCTCTGAAAGTTGCCAGCTAGGCATTGAGCTATCAAGCTCAGTATATTAAAACAATACTTTTAATCTTCCTCTGACTGTTCTATTCTCTGTATATATAGTCTTGATGTCTTTTGAAAGCTTTCTTATCTTGCCAGTTACTCAAGCTCTTCATCTGGAAATCATCTTTTTCTAACCGTGTATCTAGCTAGATCCAGGCAATACATATGACTTGCAAACTCCCTGCAAATATTACTGTCATAAGAACTTCTTTTATCCACTGTGAATCAAAAATTCTTGTTCTATGTCTTAATTCTTTGAAATCAATTGCAGGAACATCTATTTTTTGACCTTGCAATTTGCCCTGCTTCAGAAATCCCATCTGAAACAGTGATAAGTTTTCTTCATCCATCACTTTAGCTATGACTACACAAAGAAATATGTATTGCCTAGCATATGCCAGCAATTTTTTCAAACAGCAACAACTTCGTTCTGGAAACTCTTCACAACCTGTCTTACTGCTTAACTCTTTCAGGATTTAAAGATCGAAAACCACCTCTGCCCAGCTCAGTCTCATGTTTTGGCTGTAATCTCTTTTCATTCTGTTGGTTTTTAACAGTTCTGGTCTACCCAAAGTCTATGCCTAGATGGTTGTATGACTGAGCTCTTGATGCCAACTCATGCATGACAAGTTAATAATGAGTAAAACTTGTATACACATCTGATGTAACTGTGCCTTTGAAATTCCTGCATGCTGGTTCACTCCAGTGTCACAATACATGACTGAGTCACTAATTAATAGCTGAGAGATCTTCAGAACAGCTTCTTCAACTCCCTCCTGTTTATACCAGCAATATGGATATTTCTAGCACCACTGAGTTAAGGAGATGGCTTGAATCTTCCTTTTTATCTCAGTATCAAATTCAGGAAGGAACCCTTACAAAGTCAATCACCCCATGACAGCAGAGATATGGAGACTGAGCAAACAAAAGAGTTGAGGTGATTTGAGTCAATCTATGTGACCTTGTACTAGAGGATTTAAATGTAGTCTCAGTGGTCTCCTAGGAGCCACTGCATTCATGCTGGGATTCATCAATGAGAGGTGGCAGTTTCCCTAAACTGTCACTTGGGTGTATGGACCATGTGAGGACATTCAGGCTGCTTCAGAGCAAAAGCCATGTAGGTGACATGGAAAGGAAGGTGAGTTAGACTAACCTGGTTGAAAGGGAGTAGTTTTGCTGACAAAGTCAGCTACTTCTGAGAGCAAATTTAAGAAACTGCATTTCTAATATTACTGCCTTTCAGGAATTTGAGTTGTGGCTACTGACTTTTTAAGTGTGTCTACTCAGTTTTGAGTCAAAATTCAGTAAAACAGGCACTCAGCTGAGAGAGTGTTGATTCACAAATTCAGGTGGATGAAAGTCTGTCTGAAGCAGTTACCACTCCCAGATATTTGCCCTGATCCTCTGTGGAGAACCAAAGAGTGTATTATGCCTTCCATTGCGGTGCTGGAAGAATGCTGGACTTCCCCTTCCTGGGCAGTGGTGGAGCACACCTGAGTCACAGAGGGGAAGTTGGTGGTGCAGCCTTGAGGTCACTCTGGAGTCTTTGAGGGGCTTTACCTGTGGCACCAGAGCTCTGCAGCAGTACTAGTGAATTTGATAACCAAATCATAGAATAATAGAATTTTAGGGGCTGGAATGGATCTTACAGACCATCTGGTCACACCCTCCCCTGCCATGGGGGACACCTCCCCGCTAGACCAGGATGCTCAAGGCCTCATCCAGCCTGGCCTTGAACACCACCAGGGTTGGGGCAGCCACCACTTCCCTGGGCAACTTGTTCCAGTGTCTCATCACACACTATCAAATGTAATAATGAAGCTACCTGGTTGAGGTCAATCTCTTTAATTGCATTGAAAACTTATTCGCCACCACTTGGCAACTTGTTCCAGTGTCTCATCACACACTATCAAATGTAATAATGAAGCTACCTGGTTGAGGTCAATCTCTTTAATTGCATTGAAAACTTATTCTCTCCAAAGGAGTGCTGTGGAATGATGCATTTGGCAGTCAGACTTCTACATTGTTTTGTCACAACAAAGCATTTGCCTGAAGACTTCCCTGCCTTTCTGCAGTAGAAGCAGGCTTATTTCTTTTATTCTGAGTGGTTTATGAAATGAGTGCTGCTGAAGAGCTGTTTCATGCAATATAGCCTCAGGTGGGTGCGGGTTAATCACAAGAACCAGGAAAAATATGCTCTGCTTAGGTTAAATCTCTTTTCAGTCAATCTCATTACATGAAGGCCTCTAAATTTCCAGCTATAAGACCAGGTGTGCATATGAAGAGTGAACTTGGGCTGTCATTTTCAAAGGAGTTGAAGACACTTAGGTGCTATTGAAATGCAGTTTACAGTTCATTAAATCTTCAGTAATTGTTGCTTTCCATAAATTAATATTTATTACCTGTGTTGAGGTAATAACAAGTATATTTCTCAAGTAACAGGTTTTACTCCGTTAGGTGCAGGAAATGACTGAAGAAGACTTAGTTTGAGTATCAGCACACAAAAAAAATGGATCCACTTGTATGTTTGTAGTTAAGACGTGTTCCAATTTTAGGGGTTTTTTTTTGCCTTTGTAGAACAGGCAGAATATGAAAATGAAGCCACAGCTAAGAAGGAAAAGAAAAAAAATCTAGTTAGCGTTCTGCCAGATGCATTTTTGAAACATAGCTGATAGTACCATTAATCTTTCCAGAAAACTGTGGAGCTTTTTTCCTCCTCCTTTTGTTTATATTCTTCTTCTGGATACTTGTTCTTATTTTAGTTTATTTCTCTTTCTTTTCATTAATACCCATCTGTCCCAAGGGTTCCTCTGCCAAGTTCAAAAATACTGGCATTGGTGATACAATATTTAGCATATCACAAATCATGACCATATCATGAAACACATGTGAACATTTCCTTATGCCCCTTGGTTGAAAGAGGCTACTTGGAAATGTGTCTGCACTTTAATCCTTGGGAACATGCATCAGTAAACCAGAGACATGAACTCCAAAAATTCTTAATGGAAAGTAAAATAGATGTTTCATAAAAATAAGATGTTTCAAAAGTAAAGGTGGAATTTGTTCAGAGGAATTCCTTTTTCTGAGGCCATTATTTGTGGCTAACAGAGGTTAAAGAGCTGGCAGAAAAAAAACCCAAAAACCTAAACCCCAAATATTCAGAGTTGCCTTCATTTTCCTTTAATATAGGCATATTTTGGTTGTTTCAGCTTGAGTGCCCTCCTTCTCTCTGTGACAGCTGGGAGGAACACTATTAAACATAAGGATTTTTCTTTTATTTTTCTTTTTTTCTTTTTTTTTCTTTTTTTTTTCCTTGATGGGGCTTGTAGGGAAGATGATTAGGAATGAAGCTCCCACTGAGACAAGCATGCAGGAAGACCTATCAGTCTTTCAAACAGAGACTCGCTTTTTTCTTATTTAGGTGTTTGGTTTTGTAAAGATTGCAAACAAGGAAAATTTCAGCCTAAGAAGTTTGCTTCAAGTTTTGCTTCTTTAAATAGGTCTTTAAAACAAACCTGTATGATAATATGGGATAATTGTATATCTTGCTACACAGAGCACTTGCCTGTTGATCAAAAAAATAAGAGAAAGAGGACTCCTTGGTGACTATGTAGTTGGAATATTTATATAGTCATTATGTTATAGTAAGGACTCTTTATGTAAGGCTGAAAAAATGAATTTTATAGCCAACAGAAATTATATGCATTGATATTAGAAAGAATAGCTAGGAAATAAATAAAAATGGAGGGAGGAGAAGATTGAGAATGAAAGTATGAGTCTTTGAAGCTTCCCCAAAATTATTTTTCAAATACCACCTATGTCAATCTCTAGTAAGATAGGCTAGGCAAACACTGCTTTCAAGTCAACAGTGGAGAGTGTTGACTCTCCCTCTTGATATACATCAGTGAAACTATGACATTTTTGGTATGATGGTCAGAGCAATCCTAGAAAAAGTAACTAATCAATTGTACCCTTTTAATCACAGTTTAATGTGACCACCAACACATCACTTGTTCTAGTGCATCTGAAAATAAAGCTACTTTAATAAAAAACATTTTTAAAATCTGGAGTTCCTAGATGGTTATATTGATAGCAAGAATTCCATTCCATCAGTTTTTTGATAATCAAAGTTACTACTGAAATTGACAAAAAGTTGTTGAAAAGTCTGTTGAATTGTATCACTACAAACTCATCAGATGCATCCCCTAATCTCAAGTGAGAAGGAAAATACTTCACTGATTGTGTCAGTAAACTTCCCCTGTTGTCTCTCACAGCTCCCAACCCACCCACCATTCGAGAAGAGCTCTGCACAGCTTCTTATGATACCATTACTGTCCACTGGACATCAGATGATGAGTTCAGTGTGGTCTCTTACGAGCTGCAGTACACCATCTTCACCGGACAAGCTAATGTTGTTAGTAAGTATAAACCTGTTTTCTAGCTCTGTTTCCTTATGGTTTCTCTGTGAACCAAGTGCCTTTAAATATAAACATACACCTATGTCAAGAACAAAAGGAAAAAGTATTTTCTGGGAAAATTTAAAGCCAATATTTTAAATCCAAACCAATAATGATTTTAAAAGGTCTTAAAATTCAGAATGAATTTGGTTAAAATTTCTTGCGTCTTTTCTAGGAGTGCCATGTATTGGCAGCTTTCCAAGACAAAAATCAACACATATTCCCAAAGGCACAAGCGTTGTCTGTGCTAACAGGACTAGCCTCTTGTTGCAGATGTAACAGGGACAAAGAGCTCAGTTCCACTGTCTGCAGTAGTTGGTCACTTGAGAGCTTGTGTTGAACTGGTTATTAGAACTGCAGCCCCACTGTCATTTAGATAAACTTGACAACTGGACCTTTGTCAGAAATACAGATCTTTCTTCTAGGGTACAAAGCATAGATCTCAGTTTATGAAAGGCTAAGTCAGAAAATACCAGTGGAACAAAAATTAATATGGTCATTTTGTTTGACTTATAATGATGTTAAATATTGTTGTATATTTTGTATTATAGCACACTTTTTATCAAATACACTCTATGTTTGAATCTGTGACTCTTTAATTACCAGATTTACTTGGTGCTCCTTGGGTGGTTTTATTGTAAAATAACTATTTCTCTGAGAAAAGAATACTGTCTAATCTTTGGTCAGGAAGTCAACACTTCTGGGTTCAGCATTCTGGGATCATTAGGATCATTGACTATGAATTTGTAGAGGTAATTCAACTTCTTCCTGTTCCCCGTGTATTTAATGGGAATACCACTAGGTGACATGTACCTGCTTTATAAGACAAGGATTCTGAAATGAACCAAACCATTCAAAAGATGGAGTTTGTTCAGTCAACATGTATTTAGATTGGGAACTCATTGCCACAGAGGGTTGTTGTGGTTTTGAGTTCAAGAGATGCCTGGGCAAGAAAAATCCACTGAGAGCAGTGAAGTGCAGAGACTTCTTTCTGTCTCAGGAAGTCCCAGAGCTGTAAGCTGTTGAGGCCTGGGAGATCATGGTGAGAAATGCTTGCTGTGTGCTTTCCCTGTTCCTTAACACCTTCCTGTGCCCTTACCTTTGTCCACTATCAAATACCCTGGCCACGCACTGAGCTTGATAGTCAGGTCTGAGCCAGTGCAGAAGTGGTTTTCTTCTTACAAAATTTGTTGAGATACTTTGATGCAAGTCAGTGCTGTGGACATGTTTGCATGCTTCATGTCAGTGGGAAAATGGTATGGTCTATGCCAAGCTTCATTCCTGAGCCAAACTCTCACACTGACTCCTCTGTTACTGTATCATTTTCTCCATCACTAAACAGGAGTTTGTTTTCCAAGCCATCTGAAAGGATATCTGAGGATTCATGTGCTAGCATTTTAATACCTTTTTTTAAGTAACATACTGTGAATGTATTATAGTATTCAAGATTGACTAAAAAATAAAATGGATTATTGAAAATTTGATGAGTGTTTTGCCGAAACCTCCATTTAGTATTTCCCTTAGCAGCCTGATTTTGCATGACACACTGTAAAATTTAAGACTGCTGGAAAGACCAAGTAAACTTCAACACATGATCCTACATCTGAGCAAGCTGGATAACAAAAAAGTCTAGTAGTGATTTTGAACAAATGAAGCAAGCTAGATAAGGAAGGAAAAGCTTCCCTGGTTAATCACTACTAAGCAGAGAAGACTTAATGATAAGGCAGTATGTTGTTTGTTTTCTAGCTCATTTTTATATATGGCTCAATGCTATGTAAGTCAATTATATGTGTGTGAACATGGCAGGAGCAAAAGGTATGCCATTCCCATGCCTTTGTGATGTGGGATCGTACACTTTGTTTGCTAGTGAAAAAATAACAAGGTATTTTATTTTTAGGCTTTATTGTAGGTTTCCCGTGTGGAGCTGAAAGCTTTGATCTGCAAAACATGTGTCAATTATTCTGCTTTCAGAGATGCAATATAATTTTAGAGCATAGCATGAAGTGCTCAGTGTGCAGTCTGAACTATCATTTTATCACTTGAAAAAAATGCTGTCATTAAGAGTTTGAAGAAAAAGCAAATTAACATTGTAAGAAACTTTGTTTACAAAAATGCTCTGAATACCTTAAATGAAAGTAGAAAGAAATGAAAGAGCTGGTCCATTTTTTCAATTTTTTTCAAATGCAGCTAGTTCTTATGTAAATATCCTGGCTGTTACTTTCAGTTTAATTGAAAGATCAATGTTAACTCAAATTAAATGCATGTATATGTGGAAGGCATTTCTAAATGTTGTAAAGCTTTTTTTAATCCTTGTTTTTTAATATAGACTTGCACACCTCCATTGGTGATGTTCCCACCAACGTTACAAATCTGCCCTGGTTTCTAACACAAGACTCTCCCAGTTCATTCCACCTAACACTGCGATTGGAGATGTGCTCACTATTGTCATAGAATCACTGAGGCTGGAAAAGACAACTACGATCATTGAGTCCAACCATTATCTCAACATTGCCAAGTCCACTGCTAAACCATGTCCCTAAGTGCATGTCCTTTAAATACCTCCAGGGATGGTGTCACAACCACTTCCCTGGACAGTCTGTTCCAATGCTTGATCACCCTTTCCATGAAGAAATTTTTCCTGAAATCCAATCTCCTGGGGCAGCTTGAGGCTATTTCTTCTTGTCCTGTCAATCCTATCCTGATTTTACTCTGAACACTACTTGGATGTTTGTTCACTTTGTTGTGTTATATTCTTTGTCCTGCAGAAGGATCTAATATCCCCAAATGGCTTTCCAAGATTGTCCCTAGAATATTGGAGTGTACCTTAGTAGTGCAGTTGAACACAGTTATTGTTGCTGTAAGTGGTGTCAGCAGGAGCTGCACTGCCAGCTTCATCTCTTCAAGTGATTTTTATTTTTTTTAAATTCCATTTTAATGGCTAGACTTTGGATTAGCACAAATTTCTTCCTATTTATGACATTTGCATGCTGTTGCATGTAACTGTATTTTTATTTCTTTGTCATATAACAAAAATTTTCCATTGGTATTGTGTGTTGCCTGTAGCAGATAATGTAAACAGGTTCATAGATTGTCATCAGTTCTGTGTTTTTGTAGCTATGAATTAGTCGCCAGGGAGTAGCTGGAGTACTGCATTAAACCAACAAGCTTTTTCCCCTGAGACAATAGGAATCACTTTGCATACATACCCACCTACTGTGCTAATCGAGGCTGTTATTTTGGAATCTGTTTCTTAAACCACATAGCCAGCCTGACTGCACTTTCCCCTCCTCAGTACATTTCCCCCACCAGAGGCATATATCATTCAGAGATTGCTAAGAATTCAGTAACAAAAATAAGCTATGCTATGTTTTTCTAGTATATTTTCTATCCAACATAATCAACTATATTCTTTTTTATTAACTGAAAAATTGGAAAGTTAACATTTGATGGAAAAGGTCCAAATAGAGTATTTCATTTGAATCCTATTTCATACAGGAAAGATTATTTCCAAATGTGGCTGAACTGCTTGTCTATTAAATGCTTGGCAGCCCTGGTCCATGCATAAGAGCAATATGGAACTTTAAATTAAGCAGGTTTTTCCTAAAGCAGTTGTTCTCAGAGTTATACCATTTGTACATTTGCATTTCTGAGAGGCAGCTAATCACCTGCAATCTGAATATGGTAAAGGCTTTTAAAATTACTTTATCGCTAGCTAGCTAACGTGCATTATAATTTCATTATCCCATTTCAATAAATTTTCAAGTATTCATTGACTCTGTGTTTTTTAACACCATGGATTTGCTACAGTATGCTTCAGGAGGGTTCAGATTTAAACATCCATTTTTTCTACCTGTGATACAAGATATGTCTTCTTGACAAAAAGCAGTAAATCATTCTCTTTTACCTGGTAAAAGGAATTAGAGTTATTTAGTCATATAGTCTAATTACTAAAGAAATCACTGTATTAAGGATGCAGTGTACTACTGTCAGAACCTTCACTGTTACATGGCCCCTCTTCCTGTGATCTGGGATAAAATGTTGTAGGATCTAAGGCAATTAGGAGTCCAAGCTTCCATGAAAATCAGTGAATTTATGATTTACTAATTCAGTGTTGAATATTCTAGCTTTTCTCTGTTTCTGGAAGTTTTATTTTATTAAAAACAGATTCCTTACAATCCTCAGATTTCTACTGAAGATTTTAGTATCTTTTAATGGCACAAAAGGAAATTTGGGATAAAACCAAGAAAACTTCTGCCTCTTGAAAAGTATAAAAAAGTGTATTTCTTAAAAAAAAGTTCAGTGTGTTTTGTAGAAATCCTGCATATATTTTTTTTCACATGAGGATGAAGAGTGATGATGGAGAGAGCTATTACCTTCACCTACTGTGTTTGCTCTAACAATTTGAATTGGTAATAATTTGTTTACATAAAGCATTTGAAAATAATTCAAATATTCTAGATATTAAATACCTTTCCCACTACTTTTGTGCACCTCTTCCAGTTTTCAGGATGATATATTTTATTAAAATCTGCCTGTGTAAATTTTAGGAGGATTTACACCTTGGGATTTTTTCCATCTGTTTTTTAAAGTGCATCAACAGCCAATGCCAGGGAAATAGCTTTACAAATTATTACCTCCAGACTCTGAGAGACTTGTTTTGAAAACTCACACATCCTGTATGGACATCACTGTGCTCACTGCACCATTCCAGGATGTAATTTAAATTCTCTACATTTTTGTAGGCTACAGTTTTAAAATACATTGTTTTACCATCTGCATAACCCTGTAAAAAGCCCATGGTTTTTGAAACAAGAAACCTGAATGCAGCCTGGATTAGGAGTGGGTACAATAGGAGACCCTTAGCTCCTGCTGCTGCACCAGTGAGGAGATGTGTACTTTTCCACTTCACCTGCTGCCTCTGGCAGGGAGCTGAGAGAGCAAACACTATCCCCGGATGCCAGTGTGACCAGGCTGCTTGCTCATTTCCCTGAACTTTCTTAATCATATTCTTTTGTATTCAGAGAAGAAAGGCTGTCCTGACAGGGCATAACTGGAGACTAATTCTTTTGACGCAGTGACAAATTATTCTTTCATACCTAAAAGCTCAATTTGGCTGCCACTAGTAACTATTCTCTGTTTTGAAGGAGTTTGGACTTGTAGTTTGGCCTCATCAAAGCTTCATTCCCAAGATTTTTGAATCAAAGTTCAATTTAAAGTCTGTCATCAAATAGCTCACAGTCAGGAAGCACAAGGACATACCACTGAGGCCCTTTTTGCAGAGGCAAGAGCTGTGCTTGTTGAGACAGCAGAGTAACCAAGTCAGTCACTGCACGTCCAACATTTACTGTACACTTGTAGTCTGGAATGCCTAAAACTGGAACGACAAAGAAAAGAAACCCAAGGTGTCTTCTGACATCAAAAAGGATAGATTCCTCCCCTAGAACATGAGTCAGGTCAAAGAAAGGGCTTCTAACTCTCTCTATTGACTGTGCAGAGAGTTTGTGGTAGATGAGGTCCTTACTGGTTATTGGGTACATATAGATCAACATATGCAGGAGGAGAGGATAAACTCAAGAGGAGACTTATAGTAATGGAAATATACCTTTACAGTCCCTCATATACTTATCTAGATTCAAGTGTTATACTTGGTTGAGGAGCAATCAGCCTTTGGAGGGATGCCTTGAAAATGTGCCCATTAGAGAGTTGTGGTGACTAATACAAATCTAGTTGCTAGACAAAGTAGCAAAAATCTGGGAATTTCTGTGTCTGCATAAGGGTTAGTTTATATTAGTTTATGTATACCATAGAACTTTGCTTTCAAAGTGTATTTGTGGATGGAGAAGACACTTCTAGGACCACTGTCTGTATCCATCCCATTTACTGTGATATGTTATTTGGTATCCCATCAGACACATCTTAGTTAAGGATTCCTTGGTCATCCTGGAATCCCTCTAAATCCAGTACTTCATTTTGGTTTATTTTAACTTAACCCTTATTTTGCAATAGCACCTATGAGTCCAGTAAGGGATGGTCTCAATGCAAAATCAGTGTGGTAGTTCAGCTACAGAACAAGCGTGGCAAGTTGGGAAAAGGGTTTTTCTGAGCAGTCAGTGAAATATTTTATGCCAGGAAGCTGCTTCTTTTATTTCCTTTCTTCTTCTTAGGAAACCCATTCACACACAGCCTAAGAAAATAAATATAATTCAGTATGTACAGCTCAGTGAAAGAAGACATGGACAGATGTTGCTATAAGCAGCTTGCTACAAGTGCTAGGCCCAGCTGGGGTTACCATGGGGTATACCACTGGGTTCTTTTTCTTCAGGAGAAGGCAGATGATTGCTCTATGCAATCTAGTTTTTCAATAGTCTTGAGAAAAACAGTGCTGTAAGCTGTGCTGCTTCTATTCATGTACAGCAAACAGTTTGAATCCCTTGTAGCTGATATTTAGGGAAGCTACATATAGTCAGATGTTACTACATGTCAGTTGGATGCTCACTGGTTGGTGCATAAGGAACATACTAGAATTCTTTTTTTTCACTGTAAGAAACTGCAACAAAGGAATGTTCTCTCTCAGGTAAATCATGGTCCAAAGGCCACAACCCATGTGTGAGCTCAGCCAGAGGTTTAGACTTCCAGACTTCATATCAGGGTGGCAGAGGGACTCTTCTCATGTCAGTTTAGATACCTGAAGTTAAAGATCTCACCTATGCTAGTCACCTAGGCTTCCTTTGTGGACAAAAAAAGAGTGGCATTTGTGGCTGGTAGGATATTCACACCTGCAGAAGTTAAAGAAACACCTTACTGATTTCTCCCTCTCCTGAGAGTCCAGAAGAATAGGTTAGGCATTGCAGCTCTTTATTAAATGACAAGATAATATGAATCCTACCTGCAACTGTGCTGCAGTTACCCATTTGCTCAACAGGGTGAATATCTGTCTGCCTCTCAAGGATGCTTTGTAATATCTGAGAATTTTGAGACACAAGCTTCATATTTCTTAGATTGAAATTTGGAGTTTGAATTCTGTTTCTAATAATCTTTTGTTATGAAAGGCACATCTCAAATAGGAAGGAATCTTGTAGTATGGTTATGAGTCTGAAAATCTGTATCACAAGTTTTGCATCCACTAGCCTTTTTAATTTAAAATTACATAAAGGTTTTTTTATTGTCTGATATGCAGACTCCTGCTGAGTCTTAAAGACTGTCTTCATTAGTACTTACTGGTTTGCTGGTAAAACATTAGTTAAAAGCTGAAAGCTGTCTTTAAAATAGCACAATAGCTTTCATAATATGTTCTATGCCTAGTAAAAAGAGTGAACAAGAATCTGTCAGGTTCCTAGCCCAGTCAAGCATTTCTCTATTAAGTCTTCCAGCCTTTCATACCTGCACATGTGTGTACACTTCCATCTGTGTCTATCTTTTTCTAGCTGTACAACCATATAAAAGGTTGTGAATATATATATATATACTCTTAATGAATGTTAAATTTTCTATTTATGTAAAAATCTATAGTAAGAGAACTATCAGACTAGCAATCCATTAGACCAGGAGCTCTTCCAAATATACATAAGCAATATGGGAGATTGACTGCCATTGCAGTTATATGACAGTAGGAAAAATATATGTAGATTAATAAATTAATCTTCATGGAGTATTTTCCTGTTTTGAAGATGATATTGCTACTCCCTTATTTTACTTGATTCCTACATATTATACTTCTGTGGTAGGCATCAAATGTATCCAGAAAGGTTTATAAAGGGAAAATTTTCCATCTCTTCCCCAGTTGGCATTTCAGCATGAGGACATAAATCAAAAAGTTGCATCTATAAAATTTACTGGCTGAGATTACTTTCTGGCAAAGTCTGGAGAGTGAGAGCCAAAGCTTACTCTGAAGCCCATTCTCTACCCTGTTTGGCCTCCCATGATTGGCTTCAGGTCCTGAGGAATGCATACCTGGGGACTGTCAGCAAAGGTGCCTCCCCAGCCCTCCTGGCTTTACTGCTTACATTAGTTTTCTGAGGCTTTAACTAAGTTCATTAATCCAAAGAGTAGATTGATGGGATCTCCATAATCCTCTAGTTCTTAAGCAATAAAGAATTCCTTGTCCTGGGATATGAAAAATCTCAGACTGCTAGTGTCTCCACTGAGCCATTTCTTAAATGCCCATTTTTTATGGTTGACTTCACAAGCAAGAACTTAAAAGGTACCTTGGCTGAGGGTTGATGAAATGAGTTAATGGTATTAAGTAGTGCCTCAGTAAATGTAACAACACTTTGAAAGGTACAGAAGCAAAATTCATATCAGTTATTGGGTGGCTGGGAATGCTCTAAATGTCCCTCGGTTACAAAGTGTTTAGTATATTATGACCAATGTGCTCTGTTCAAAACTGCAGGTTTATGCAACTCAGCCGACAGCTGGATGATTGTTCCTAATATCAAACAAAACCACTACACAGTGCATGGGTTACAGAGTGGCACTAAGTACATCTTCATCGTTAAGGCCATTAATCAGGCAGGCAGCAGGAGCAGCGAGCCCGGCAAGCTCAAGACAAACAGTGAGTAACTTGAGATCCAGCACGTGCGCGTTCTTGTCCTTTCTTGCCTTCCTTTTTAGGTTTGATCTTTGGAAGATACAACAGCACAGAGCAGTTAAACTTAGTTAAAGTGCTTCCCACAATGGCAACCATTTATTTAACTCAATTCAAGATCGCCAGAGTCTTCAGTAGTGCAGAAAATGCTTTCTCTTTTATTGAGACACATGCGTCTGTAGTTTGGTCACTGGAAATACCACATAGGAACAGAGCCCTCTCATGTGAAATGGCTGAAAATACTCTTTTGTGGGATTGTTTCACTGTCCTCTCTACTCTTTTTCCTCTTCAAAGCAAAAACTTTTCTTGTGTTTGCAATAAAATATTTTAATTTTATATAGTGTTCATAAGATAATTGCTAGTCTAATTTTATCCTCCAAAGTGATTTTATTTTTTAGATACTGGAAAACTTTTCAGCTTCATCCCCCTCAGCTTTTTTATGGAGCTCAGCAAGGTGGAAGAATAGTCAGAGATCCCACTTCAAAAAAATAGTGGTTACACAAATTATTAGCAGATGTAGAACAGCAATTTTAAGACTGGTTTTCCACTGTTTTCTTCTTGCATCGCAGCCAGTCCCTCAGTCATGTAGTCATCGTGGGCAGCTCTGAGGGCTAGAAAGGAAACATTGGGATTTGTGCATCCTCTGAAACCTGCTTATTGTAGGGGAGGGTACTTGAAGAGGGGCAATACTGAATGTTACAAGGAGGCTGAAGAGAATAGCATGTACACTTTTCTGATTTCCTTCTTCCTGCTATTAACCTGTGTGATGTGACAAGACACAATTCAGTACAGTGAGACATCCTTCAGATACTGCTTCAACACACAAAGGCTACTAACCAGACAGAGAGGCAGGCTGTAGGTATGTTACTGCTACCAGGTGGTAAAAAGTAGTCCCCAAATATTTTCCAATGGGTTTATTTTCTATTTAGGCATAACACATAAGTAAATGCATGTTGCAAAAGTAGATGACCCTGAACAATTTGAAGTACACGTACCAGTGCCTCACGCAGACTTCATGAGAGTGCTGGTTTTTATTTTCTGTGCATGTCATCAAATCTTCCACCTTTGTGTTTTCCTGCTTGATATGAAAGACAGTAAGAAGGGAAAAGTGCTTTGCTGGACCACTTGTGGAGTCATACTTTCCTAGTTGTCTCCTGGTGGAGGTAAATGATCATTCTGCTTTCTGACACAATGAGCAAGCCTGTCAGAATTGTGGTGGGCTTTATATATCTATGGGGTTTGGTTTACCAAAAAGCTTCCTGTTATTGTCTACAAACCTTGTGCTATAGTCAAAGTTACTTGCCAAGAGCAACAGCCTCAGTAATGTTATTACACCATATTATTTGGACCAAGTTACAGTTCACTTCCTTCTTTTAAATGCACAGTATCCAGCACCACATGGGCATCCATCCAAAGTGATCCTGAATTGTTGACTGTGCTTGTTATAAATAAATCTTAAGTGAACGAAGAGACAAGGCTAATGTTTCTTCTTATTTTCAAACTCATTTTAAGGGATTTGAAATCATACTTTTTGCAGGAATGATGAAGATGTTATTATGGAGCTTTATCCGTAGCAAATTAATAGAACACAATTTATTCTAAATCTAATATGCTGTGAAAAAAAGCAACCCTCAGACCTTTATTAGCATGTATATTGGTTTCAATTACATGCAAGAATTAGAGTATTCTGGTTACCTCTAGGTCAAAGATAATGGACATGATTATGCAGGGCTCTTTTCAGGGATTACCGACACGGGAAAGTTAGTGCACAATGAGATTGACAGTAAACTGGCAATGCAATGCAAACTAGCTATTGCAGGGAGCAGAATAGAATAGTCTATCTCAAGAATGCTTGAGAGGAGTTATGTAATCTTGGGGGCTTCTTAGAGGCTCACTAATCCACTGTTCTTTTCAAAATCAAAGTCAAACCACTCCTCTGTCATCTTCGTTTCTGCGTCTCTAGGTCAGCCATTTAAACTGGACCCCAAATCTGCTCATAGAAAATTGAAAGTGTCTCATGATAACCTGACCGTGGAACGTGATGAAACATCCTCCAAAAAGAGTCACACCCCAGAGCGATTCACGAGTCAAGGGAGCTATGGAGTAGCTGGCAACGTGTTCATTGACAGTGGGCGGCATTACTGGGAAGTGGTTATAAGTGGAAGTACATGGTATGTATATAAAAATATATGTGAAAAGAATCACTAGTTCACACTGCACAAGTACTGGCACACTTTCCCTGATGGAGGTCAGTGGCAGAGGCATGGGGAGCAGTACAAGAGCAGACCAAGCGTATATTTTCACAAAGTTTATCAGACTATTTTCCCAATTTCCAGCACTCTTGGACTCTGGAACTAAATCTGTCAGATTAAGCATCTTTATACTTAGCAGTCTTTACAGGACCTTTACTTCACAGCTGGAGGTGGTTGCTTTTTTGAGCCCACATACAGTACATTTTAGGATTTGTTTTTAATTCAAGAGATCAAAAGGTTTCTTCTTGTTTATACAATACAGCAAACTTGGTAAATGTGATAATTTCTCTGCTAAACATGAAATATTTGAATGTCCTTCATTAAGAAATACATATGAGGACAATTTGATGATACAGTTTTACAGAGGTGAGGTCAGATTTGTTTCTGGGGGGGGTACATGGAGCAGCAGATCTGTGCCCCAGGGTATGAAGCAAAGATGGGGAAATGAAGAGTGCTTTCCTCCACTTCTGAATGATCCTCTGTTTCATACAGGGGTGGATTTCAGGGGCTCTTTAGTCAGTGGAAGAGATGTCATCCTTTGGGATTCAAAGGCAACAATCATGATGAATGTTAATGGAGTGGAAAAATCAGTAAGGTCTTCAGGTATTGCCCACTGTCTCAAACAGGAAAAATGCTGTTTGTCTGTGCCAGTAGTAAAGAATGGAAAAAAGTAACTTATTGCACATTAATCTTTGTTGGTTGAAAGCCCAACAAATACTGCAGTGTCTCTAGAACGTGAGGAACCTTTACATTTCTGTTATATATGACGAATCAGGTATTTGCCCTCAGTGTTCATTAATGAGAATATTTTCACAATCCTTTTACCCTGCACATCTTGCCATAAATTATGGTTTGCAGCACAAATGTCTTCACCTACAATTGCTTCACTTGGCCTTGAACCCAGTCTCAAAAATGCTTATTTGAATCTGAAAACCACACCAACATCTGGCAAAACATATTTGAAAATGGCAAATTATTATTTTCAATGTGCCCTTTGATGTTTACTCTTGCATTCCTTCTGGGCCATATATTAAAGAAGCAAGGAGAAATCAGATTAGCTGACAGATAGCAGTGTATTTTAAAATCAATGAATTCCTCTGTATTCATCTGCTGGAAATGGAAATTTGAGGTCCAGTAATTTAGAATGAATTACTGAGTACTCAACAATCTTCCTTTTGAATACCAGAGGCAAGTGGGCAAAAAATTTGCAATAGCTGCCAAACTAGAAACAATGCAATGAACAATAAAGTTTCCCTCACCAATCAGACCCAAAATAGACTGGAGGAAAAACATTAATTAAGCCTGTGCAGATATTGCGATGAAATGTCTCTTAATTGGAGCTTAACCAGCAGCAGTAAGAGGCTGGGACATTCCAGGGAGTCCACTGGGCTGGCAAACATTTGACTTCATAAAAACCAAATATGGCAGGAAGCATTTGTTTCCTTGAGATGTTTTTTGTTTTGCAGGTATGCCATTGGTATTTCCTACAAGTCAGCACCAAAGCACGAGTGGATTGGGAAGAATTCTGCCTCCTGGGTGCTTTGCCGCTGCAATAACTCGTGGGTGGTGAGGCATAACAGCAAAGAAATTCCCATCGAGCCTGCACCTCACCTCCGGCGCGTTGGGATTTTGCTGGACTATGACAATGGTTCCCTTGCTTTTTATGATGCTTTGAACTCCCTACACCTTTACACTTTTGACATTACGTTTGGGCAGCCGGTGTGCCCCACGTTCACAGTGTGGAATAAGTGTTTGACCATTATAACGGGCTTGCCTATCCCTGACCACCTAGACTCCTCTGAGCAGCTCGCATGACTGCTGAAAGCCAAAAGGTAGGACAACACATCTTCCCAGGGCAGCCAGGTGGCTGCCTGGAGGAGCTTGCCTGGAGCTGGTGGACACTTGTGGCATCCCAGCCATCGTTGCTGAATCTGGCCAAAACTGAAAAGGAGAGAATATCTCTTTACTGTGTACTTTGTATGGAAGGACAAGAATTGGCTTTAATAGTATCTTACAACTTTCTTTTGCAGTTGGTTTTGTTTGGTTGGTTTTGTATTTAGTCTCTTACAGGAAGATTTATAAATTATTTATAAAAACTACAAAAAAAAAAAAAAAAAGAGTGAAGTGAAAGCCTGGTTTGGACACCTGGAAAATGACTTTTTTTTTTTTTGCACATTGATGTCCTATTAATCAAAGTTTCATCAACCTTTTGCATCACTTTATTTTACAATGGATAAAAAGAGGAAATTGGAAGGATGAAAACTGCACAGTGGACTAGTCAGTATGCTGCAGGTTTTACTCGTGCCAACATTAGTGGTCTCATTACCAGCTTTGTTGAGTGCGAGATCTCCCAATTTCTACTCTGCACATAGGAGTGTGCAAAAATAAGCAAGAGAGGAAGTGGAGCTAGCCAACACAGCAAAAGAATAAGGTTTAATTTACTTCTGTTCACAGGGCAGTGCTCTCTCAGTTCATAAAATCCATGTGGAGTATCTCCTAGAAACGTGAGTGGATAAATCATCTGGTGATTTATTTTATTGATGGCAACTTTCCCATCTACCAGTGCTTCACTTTTATCTTTGGGAAACATTACAGAATCACTGAGGATGTGGAAGACTGATACCATCTTTAAGAATCAGCAACACTGGAAGAGAGCAGCCAATCCAAGGTCTGACTGTAGACTAATTTGATAAAGCATGGCATCATTTAAGGATTGATTGTAATAGAAGATGTCACAGTTCTGATGGTAGACATGTGAATGCTTAGTGCTGATTTTACAAGGTTCAACATAGCAAGCCCAGCCAACAACTCAGAAGTGAGACATGCGCCACTTTACCATTGATTTTAAATTAAATACAAATGTTTCATTGTCATACACTGTGTAGTGTCTATAACAAAGCAAGGAAATCTGTTTTACATGTGCTGTAAGGAGAAACACTGCAGCTAGAGTTTGCTCATGGTTATCATTGTCCTGGGTTGTTTGGGAAGGCACAGTTCTCATGAGTGAGGAGTAAAGCAAACATTCAGCAGCAGTAGGAATCTGCATGGGCACACCTTATGTTCATCCTGGTGCTGGTAGATGAACCTCAGTGAAGGCAATAGAATTTGTATGTACATTATTTCAAAGCTGAATCAGGTGCGTTTTTTTCTCTTTCCTTTCTACAGAAAAGAAGCCCTTTGTAATTACTGCAGTGCTTATGTGATCACTTTGGGACATGCTTTGAGACATATGACAGCTTTAAAAGAATGGTTTTCCTACAGTGTTTTGTTGTTACTATGCAAGTGGTGAAAATCTGCCTGTGTAGAGAAAGGATAAATTGAACATTGGCTTTAAGAAAAGATTTGCTCAGTAATTTATAACCATGCTTTAGGTGTCTTTTGCAAAAGATGCCTTAAGGCACTTTGTTCACTGATGGGTGCAAAATAAAATGGTCCCAAGCTCAGCTTCAGATTTTTTAATACTGATTCCCCAGGTACAAAGATGTAAAACAGTTTGCCTTATGACATCAAAAATGTACAAGTAAGATGAGAAGTACGTACATGCATATTTGGTTTTTTCCTTTTTTTAATAGAGATTAAATACTTGTCCATATTCCTTTGACTTCCCCTTACATGCCTTTCTAACTGCTGAATTAAATGGGGAAAAATCTGGCAGTATGTTGCTGGTGCCATGGCTTTTGGCTGGGGCAGCATCCCATTATTCATGGGTAGGAGCCACTGATCTCTCCAGAGTAGACATAAATAAAGCAAAATGGATACACATAGTGAACTGCAGTGTTTATCCTAGTATCTTTAATAATCAAGAAATGTATACCCTCAAAAATGAAATAGTAAATAAGTCCCCAAACATTACATTTTATACATGAGTACAATATTACTGATACAATCTGATATACACTGCCCATATGATCAAGCCTGGGATGTTTGGAAGGTGGTTGAGAGGGCATGAAAATTTTAATAATGAGTTTACAGAAGATGACTGATGCAAAGCGGTGATACAGTGATAAAAAGATGTGTGAAGAAAGAAGTTTTAATATAGGGTTATTACCAATTTTCCACCTGAAAGAAAAGAGTGTATTACCAAAGTACATATAGCAAGGCTGTGTATCTTCTCTTTTGCCAGAAATTTTAAATCTAGAAGCTGATTTCAGTAGTGGATAAACTGAAAACACTGTTCAGCTTTTGACTATACAAAAGAAGCTGATTTCAGTAGTGGATAAACACTGTTCAGCTTTTGACTATACAATGTTGGCAGAAATTGAGCTGGGTGGAAGTAATGCCATGAAGTTGGAAAGGTCCCAAATGATCTCACATATTTTTATTGTAAAGATAGACCGAGAGTCTAAAGTTGGATCATTGGTTTAGGCCAATGGAAAAAGAATGGTCTGTTATCTACAGGCCTTGCTGTATCATTTTTACTTTAACACAGAATTCTTCATTTGGAGCTAAGCCACATTTTTCCAATAACCTACTGATTTGGTCAGTACTCGTTGTGCATATATGTTTGTGTATATATGTACACTTATGTATGGGTATACACACACCAGTATATGCACAAATATAGTGTGTAATTTGTGTATGTGCATACATATGTATATACACACACAAAGTGACAGTAATTAGTCAGATGTTCCTTTTTTCCTTGTTTCTTGAACAATTTCATATTCTGTGTGATTATGAGGAAACAAGTTTGCTATGAATGGTATTCTTCTGGACATATTTTAACAAACAAAATCTGTTTATTTTACGATATTTGATTCGATGCCTGATTAATCAATAAAAACATCCATTTGAAAATGTAGCTTCTGTGGTCTGTGGCATTTTGCATGGTCCATAGTAATGAATCAAAATCTGGGGGAACAGTAATCCTTGTGTAAAAATAAAACATGGTACTTTAATGTAGCATGAGGTCTTAGATGAGGGTTTTTCCCTTCTTTTTGAAAATTTTGTGACTAGGAATGAGGTAGCATTGTATAATGCTGTGTTAACAAAGGCAGATTTTTGAGGAATAGTCTTCTGAGGTGCAAGCAATGAATGTGGTAGATGAAGCTTGTATTGGTATAATGATTGTTTCAAAGGTGTATTTAAAACCCAAGCTGGGATTCAGCAGAGTTAGAGCAAAGAATAGCACAAACTCATTAGGAGATAGTAGCTGCTCAGAGTAGTCAAAGTTTGAGGTAATGGAAAGGTGGGGGACTTTTTCTCTGAGGCCAGATAAGATTTTCCATGTGTTAGGCTTCCATGTGTTAATGCACATCTAATAGGGGAAAAAAAACCATTCAGGAACAGGCTGTATGTCATAAATTATTTAGTAGACTGTCTCCAGCCCACTGTAGTTCCTATTGTTGGCTTTCAGAGAGCAACAAAGTTGCTGCATTTTCTGCCATGAGTATTCTTTGTCTGGTTTGAGTATCCCATTTTTCAACTGCTCAGCAAAGAGACTCCCACTGAGCAGTGGGTCCCTAGGGTAGGAAGCATAAAAATCCCTCGGATGTGGGTACACTGTGAAAAGCAGGAAATCCACAAGTACAGGTGAAAACTGATGCACGCTCTTCAATCGTAGGTCACTAAACAGCAGTGTGTTTTAATCCTGAGTCTTAATTGCAAACACTATATTCTTTACATGTTAGAGAAAGCAACAGGACACTATGGACAGCACAAATTAAAGTGTCAGCTCATTAAGCAGTTCATTTTGAGATGGCTAGTGTTTATAGCACTATGAAGGACTGTGGGAGATTTCATTAAAATACTATTTCATATTGAACGCAGTATAAGTATTTCTGTCTTAATTATTCTGATAAATCAGATGTCTAGTAGTTCCTAGATTCTGCTTTTAGTTGAAGCAGCACAATTTTCACATAAGCCCATGCACCAAAACAAAGTGAGGATTGTTAGTGGCTCACATTTGCATCACCAAAACGGAGGCTATTCATTTTAGTTGGAAACACTCTATTCATTTCTGGTTTAGGAGTGAAGAAGTGCTGGACTCACACAGAAAGTACACACCAGCACCTCAGTAGCTGACTAGGGCACACCTGGGTAGGGCAGCTCTGGGAGGCTGGTGATAAACAAAAACATGTACAGGTCACTTATGTAGTGATGTGCTGGCAATTTGCTCATAACACCATCTCTGATATCTTTTCACTTACTGATCTTTCTAGTAGTGGGAGTGTGCACTGAGACATAGGGATGTAAAATGTAGTATTTTTGTGTGTTGCTAAGCTGATTTCCCATATAGAAATTAGCACAATGTTTTTGTCTTCTCCACACTAAGGAAAGTCCTGCTCCTTCCCAAGTGCTGATAGTGTGTGTTCTAGATCATCATAAACTGTTCATATTTATTGTGCTCTCTAAAATGAAAGAAATTCTCTTTACATTTTAACTTTTGATTTAGTACTTGATTTTCATATAAAAAATTAAGACTAAAGAGCAGTGATGTTAACAATGCTTCAGTGTGGATGAGACTCTTGGTTTGAACTGTGTGGTTTAAGGCATCTGTGCACATAAATCAAATCTCTGTGCCAGAACAGCCTGATTTGTCCCTCATGTGGGAGTTGAACAGTGCAGGTGCAAGTGTTTTCTTCTGAGGTTGGCTTTTGCATTAACTCCACTCTCAGAGTGAGATATTTGGTTTCTTTATTTTTTTTAAAGATTGGTTTTGTGATTCAAGTGCAGACCATGTTAATAAGTCTGATCATCATATTATTTATTTTAGTGAGCCCTGCCATACCACGTACCTCTGGCAGGTTGCTGAACACATCAGCTGCAACCATAACCTTTGCAACATCACCTCCAGTGTGAGGACTGATGTTTAAGCTGTTGAGCAAGTATGTAACATTCCCAGGTGGGATTCATCCTCCTATGTGTAAGAAACTCTAGCACAAACCATGATACCAGTTGAAGGTGAGAGACACAAATTTCACAAGGGTGATACTGATATAGGAAAGATACAGGCTTGAAAACTGTCAGTGTTGAGGCAGTTCTGGTTTAGAAGCATGACAATGTATTAGGAAGTCATGAAATCTTCTACTATGATGTGATTAATAGTGTCATCATTACTGCTGCCTGAGAGAGGAATGGAGTTAGCAAAAGGGAGT